ATACACTTAGCTAATTCAGAGTAATAATGATGATATTCCAAAAGAAATCACAAATGCTGTGATAGAAGGTAACACATTAATAATGGATATCAGTGACTTCTGTGCAGCCATAAAATATAGTCCTGGTCAACTTTAATGACTGCTCTATGGAGCATCTACAAGGAGAAGTCCAATGTAAACAAGGGGCTTTTGAGTTGGTCCTGAACGGTGTCTATGGTCAGGCTTAAATGTTACTATTCTTTGAACAGTGTATAGAATATGGCTGGTTTTAACAACTTGGCAGAAGCAACAAAATCCAAAAAAAAGCTGCTAGAAAGTGTTTCATTTCAACAGGGGGAACTATAAAATCTTGAGGAAGCTTATTAAAAAGAAATGATAAGGGCAACCCAAAGGAAACAGAGACTGCTAATAACAAGAATAAATCATATTCTGAAACATGGAGATTCTCTAATTATCAAATATTTTATTAGTGACGGTCAATTTGATTTTGAGTCTGGTGTTTAGCAAAGTGAGCGTAGGGGTGTTGGGAATGAGAAAGCTGAGCCCATAGCTCCTGGATTCTGATTCTCATTCTGCTGCAAATTGATTATTTGATTTTTCAAGCAAATTTTAAAAAACATCCATCCCAATAACTATGTTATCCATGTCAACAATGTGGTGCTGTTTAGTCATGCTTAAGTGAGCTGTCTATGGGGTAGCAAAGTTAAGAGTGCTAGTATACCTGTCTTTTCCTTCTAATTTTAATAGCCTTATTCCTTCTAAAAATAAAGTTGCAGGCACAGTTCCATGGAATAAATACAAATAAGAAGTTTCATAACAGATCTATTGGAGTAGACAAATGTAAAATAAAGTTCTGTATCTGCCTGTAGGCAAAAAAAAGGGAATTTCTTTCTATCAGAAGGTCAAAAAACGGAGGAAAAGATTAAGTCATTGAAATCATTACAGGACTTTGGGACGTGATCAAGTTTTAAGCTTTAAAAATGGTGATTTACTTTGGTAATCTCCTAATTTCAAGTTAGTTATCAGATTTTAATTATTAATGGCTCACTGAGGCAGCAAATTGTAACAGCTCCAGAGTTTACATCAGCACAGCATGTGAGGAAAGTCTTGTGATTAAAACAAAGTGCATGAAAGTGGAATTCTCTTTAACATTAGAGTTTATTTTGTCATTCTTCTATTGCAATACCTTTGACTCCACAAGTAGCTGAACGGAAAAATGGGCTGGGATTTTTGCAGAGTATAGGGCTAGGATAGATGGCTAACATTTGGCAGAATCTGATCTTTAGAAAGGATTACATCAAAGCCATCATTTTTCCTTTCCTAATAATTTGTTAAAAAAACAAGAACATAGGTCTTTTTGATGCTATTATCTTGACCCATGTTGAGCAGCAGTAAGCCTTGTAGGCTGTTTTGCAGTAATGCAGAGCATTGGTGCATCATAAATGTAATTTTATTTACATTTATATGAAATATTGGCATATATGTGCCATTCTTTTTGCGTTTAAAGAAATCTAATATATAGTAGTAACCCTTCAAAAACCAAAGTTCACTTGCAGACTAGGAAGAAAAGAAATGGTAAGATGTGAGTAGGATCAGCAGCTACTCATTGTCACTGTTAGAATACCTTGTTTAATTCTAGAGCAGTGGCTTTTGCAAAGAGCTAAATTTGTTGAAATGAAGAAATCATTATGGAATTGCTGAGAGAAGAATGATTCAGAAAGTCATAACAGGAAAAAAAAATGCATAAAAATATACTAAGTGCTCTACTGGAGCATGTTATTTTATGCTATATTGCTACATTTCCGAACTTCCACTTTAACCATCAAATACCTGCAGAGAATTTCCAAGCCTACACAAGGAACTAGTTGTATAATGAGGCAATATTGGGATTGAAAATTAATTGCCAGCATACATGAACCACCTCTTATCAATGCCAAGAGCTAGTAGGAAGGAACAGTGGGTCTTCAATGGCCAGGGCTAAATAGCTTAAGTTCTGCCTAAGTTCCTGTCTTTTATGAAGTAAGTACAGTGAAGTAAGTACTTTTAAGCAGTACAGTGTAAAATCTGTGCTGCTTCTGATACTTGAGCTGGCTTAGTTAAAGCTACCTGTGGCATCTCTGCACTAGATTGCAAACAGCCTCCTGGAAAAGAAGTAGAAGGCAGGGGAGAAAGACCGCCAGGAAAGGGTAGTCAAAAGTGTGAATAAACCCACATAAATTTGAGTCTATATTCAATGACCAGGTGGTCATACAGCAGTCTTGGGTACCTTCATACGCAGCTCCAAATGCAGCACACAATGTCAGTCCAGTAATTTCCCAGTGCACACAACTTAGACAGCGTGGCCTACAGAATCAGGTGTGAAAGGAAATGTGTTCTGCCTGTGACCTCTGCTCAGTGATATCTACAATCATGGTGGCTCATGCACACTCTGTGAACATTTATAAGTTCTAAAGCGATCAATGCAGCATATCACAACATGCTTTTTAGTGAGTTTCAACCTGTGACCTTTCAGTATTTTGGGATGTTAACAATTTCTACTGGAAAAATCATCTGATACGATCCCATCATTTCGGTTCCCTCGATAGCTTTATCCTAATTTGTAGATTTTTCTAATTTTTATTAAATCTTTAAATTAACATGAATGAGTAAGAATGAGTTTACTGGGTCAAAACTAGAGTGTCCTGTCTGAAGCACTGGCTCAACTTTTACTGGAGGCAAATGGGAACCAAAATTTTAAAAGATGTCCACACAGCAGACCTGTGCCCTGGAATGTCTGTACATCCAAGGACATTCCTTGGGATTCACTTTGACCTTCAGTTTTCCTCTTGACTCTGCAGAACTGTTCTGCAGAGGTAGTTGGGAAATGGTTAAAGGTACTGAATACATGAGGTATGATTTGGTACAAATGCAAAAGGAATAGCAGTGTGAATAGGGAAGGAGGGATAGAATGCCCTTCTGTTTGTTTTACATGATGCTCCTTGGTACTACAGAGAGCTCACCTAAACACAACTAAACATTGTTCGCTCTGCTCCCCAAAAGGGAAGATATAGATTTGCCTTTGGGGGCGGTGAGCTTGGAAGATGTGGTGGGATGGAAATTGTGATTTCTTCAGGGGATTTTCAGACAAGAAATAGATCAGTAATTGACTCATTTCTGAGCACCAGTGCCTCACATTGCTAAACCAAGGAAAACATGTCCAATATATCTATATCTGAACATTGCACTTCAGGCAGTGTGGAGCAGAGCTATTCTTTACTCAGCCCGGAAATGCACCCTTTGGATTCCCAATTTGTATTCACCTTCATTTCCTGTTTTCTAGCATAAATTTAGGAACTTTTGAAGTAGTAAGTACTACATCTCTGTGGATGTTTTTGTCACTGAAAAAAAAACTTCCTCAGAGCATCCTAACTGCTCGGCTAATTACATGATTGCCTGCAGCAATAACAGTTAAATCCTCAGCGTCAACTTAAACCCCCTGAAACACCTCAAGATAGATGAGAATCTTAAGCTAAACTCAAATTGACAATGAAAGAAATCTTTACCTGGTTAAAGATAGTATTACTGGCTTTACACTACCTCCTCCATTATTAATGGGAACTAAGAGTTGGGAACAAGCTACATCACTAGCAGGAGGAAGGTGTACTGATTTCCTCCTGTCTTCACCCCTCCCCGCAGCAGAGAGGTAGAGAATTGCTAAGAATCTCATTTTCTCTTTCGTTTTTAGCTTTATGGAACAGAAATGCATATGGCTGAGAATGCCACCTAGAATTTGCAATTTGTAGGGCCAACAGAAAAGCATTATTATGAACTTGCCCACAGCACAGACAAAAGGTACAACAACTTTTCCCACTCTGTGCACCTGGAAATGAAAAATAATGTTTCAGAAGATGGGTTGAACCTTATAAAATCTAAACTACCGCTGGAAAGTGCTGCAGTTCTGCCAGGTCAAGTCAGGCAAGATGCAGAACGTGATTTGAATATGTAGAAAGGAGCTTTGTGAGTAATTTCAGTGCATTGCTAAAAGGAAAAAAAGATCTGAAGTCCAAAGCAATCTGGTTTTCTGAATGAAAATTCAGGAATTTATTTGATTTCTAAAGAATGGGGTAAGTTATCTCTCCAGCAGGAAACGTGAAAATGATTATAAAGAAAAGAACATTTCCTAGGAGAGACTCACAGCACCTTCTGAGAAAGAGGGTTCATCAAAGCATCTCTGTTGGAAATCTGACAACTACATCTTCCCTTTACTCTATGAAGACTACAGCTGTCCTATTCCATTATTGTCAAGAGCACAAGGGTAAAGTGTTTCCCTGCCCTGTTTCATTTCACAGTCACAAAGGCTTGTTTTGCTGCAAGTAATCAGAAAAAAAAAATCAAGCACTTTGAAACCGTGTTCTTACCAGACCTCTGGATATGCACAGATGGCAATGTAAATAGTCTCATTAGTTAAAATCAGGAGGAACCAAACAGCTCAGAGCTGTCTGTGAGAAGAGTTATTAAAACCGGAGTCTGAAGTGATTTCTGAGGAGGAGGCAAATGCCTCCGCCAGCTGCAGGAATACAAAGAGGAGGGAAATTTGAAATCCTCTCCCTTCACACACAATCTCTACAACTCCTTATCAGCTTGAATTAGATGACATTGAGTGAGGGACATATACTGTTTTCACAGATGGGGAACCAAAACCCCGAGCAATGGCTGCTCTTGCAGAATTAGTATTAAAAGGCAAAGCTCAGAGAGCAGCTAAGTCAAACACACAGAGAAAGTGTTTGTGGTAAAAGAAAGCAGGAGAGTAATGCCAATAAAAAGCTGAAAGAGAAAAACCAAAGACAGGGAGAAAAACAGCGTCTTAGGGACAGATCTTAAAGAAGTACAGAGGAGCACAACCAATGAACTATTGAAGGCTCTGCCTCTCATCATTTAATGATTGTCATCTCCGTATTTTAATTTCAGTAGAGAATTTGATCTCAATCTCTCGCCCCAAAACTTTTCCTCTCTTTTCTCACCTGTCCACAGCTATTGCTGTCATGGAGTAGATGCTGGCGAAGACAGCCGTGATTGGGAAGAAGTTGTGGAAGCGGCAGTAAGCCTCCCCAAAGTACCACTCGCTGTGCAGCGCGTAGATGAAGTTGATGAGAGTATTGAAAGCAGCCATGGAGGCATCAGAGAAGGCCAGGTTCACTAGGAAGTAATTGGTCACTGTCCTCATGCGCTTGTGAGCCAGGATAATCCAGATGACAATGAGATTTCCAAAAACAGCCACTGCCACCACACCGCCGTAAGCGAGAGACCACAGAGCAATGCGCCAAGAGGGTTGCACAAACTGATTGGAGAAGTTGGCTGCTGAGGATGCTACAGAGAGAGAAGCATTTCCAGCTGGTGCTCCCAGTCCCTGTTCCCAGGAATCGCCCGCCGCAGCAAGGCTTATGTTCCACCTGCTGCTCATGCTCACGTTCCAGTCAGCTGTGGGAACAGAATTCATCTTGGATATTCCTTTTCTCTCTTTCAGGAATGATGTGCCTCTCCCACCTCCCTTTCCCAACCCTCCAAAATCCCCACCAACAGATAAGGAAAGGAAAGAAAGAAAAGGAAGTAAGGCAGCCCAGCAGGTACTGGGAAGGAGAAAAAGCTTTCGTTACAGTGTTCAAACTGTTAGAAATGCTGTACCAGCTGAGACAGGAGAGCTAACTGTGGGTAGAACAGCATCCCATTCCTCCTCTGTACGGCCACCTCTTGCTTTTGGTTTTGCTGAAGGAGAAGGGGACTGGGAGCCAAGGCACATTTTATAGGCTTGTGAGTTCCCAGCGTCATGAAGGGAGTGGAGCAATAAGCTCGGTGGGCTGGTAAGATAACACCTCTTTCTCTCTGTTCTCCCTCCTCCCCTTCGATTTCATTCATTGCCAGCAGCAGGCACTTTCAGGAGCTGGGAGAGCGCCAGGGGGAAACTGAATTCTCGTCTCGTTTTTGTTGAGATATTTGTTTTATATTGCCTTTCTTTAAGTTTCATTATTGCACTTCCTTTCCAAATAGTCTTTTTGCCCTGTCTTTGCAGGGCTAATTAGCTGGCTTAGTTGAACATCCCAGGACTGAGACTGCTTTTTATTAAAGCTGTTTCTGGATGAATTTATTTCAGATGAATTCAGATCTGCTTTTTTGCTGTTGTCATTTCAGTCAGTATATGCTTTCCTTTTAACCATTCCGTTAACTGCATATTTGGAATAGTGACCTCTTTCAGATAAAGAAATACATCCTGCTGCTCCCTAATTACATTTTTCAATCTGTAATATGTAAATGACATCAAGAAACATTTATAAAATTGTGACTATCTTTTTCTTACAGCACTAACTTTGATGCCTGTAAAGCCATTTGCATGTTTGGCAGACACTGTTTTTTGTTGAAACACTATGCAGCCCTAAACATAGATGTCCACAGATACAGGTAAAATGATAGGGGTTTATTTTCTTTGTATCTTTGAAAAAAAAATTAAATTATTTTTACTTATTTGCATTAATTCCACACTTAGTACTATTATTATTTTGAGTAAACAATATTTTTATATGCAGTGATTTCTATACTGGTAGAAAAGGGTAAATGAGGAATTTGACACCTGGTGTTTTCACATCCAGGAAATCAGTTTTCTTATTAAAATGTTAACAGCTAGCATTGAGAATGCATGCTTTGTGCAAGGGTTGATTGCAAGGGACTTCAGCTACAAACCTTTGTATTCAATAGGCTGTAGTCTTTAGGGAGAGAGTCTGTTTTAGTGCTGATCTGCTCCATGCTTCAACAATTTAGAACTACTGCTTGTCATCAGCAGAGATCTCCACTGTATCACATCACAGCAGTGGGAGCTGTTCAATACCCCTATCAGCAATGACACATTCTACATTTTTTTTAAACAAAAGCTTCCTACAAAAATCAAATATTCCTGTGTGCCATTGCCTCCCTGCTGTATTTATTCAGTGGAAGTAGTGTCTGCACTTTAATTGTCAGATCTTCACTGCAGTTTTAATTTGAATGACTGCAATTGTGGCCATTTCTATATGCTTCTCAGGTCTTACCAGCTGACACAACCCCAAGCAGCAGCCCACTCCAGTCTTAGAAGCTCTGCTGAAAACCACCCTTTGCTACAGCATGTCTAGAACCTCCCTACCCCGTGTCCTTCATCCTCTTCCTGGAGGTGAGTCTGAAGAAGGGAATAGTAGTTCACACTCTGTTTCTCCAACAGGCTTTGTGCCGTGTTCTCAAGAGGTCCCACAGTAGGAAGCACAGAGTCAACAGAGACTGTAGTAATGCTGCATGGGTTGAACCATTCTTTAAGTTAGCTTAAAATACAACAAACTGTAGGATATAGTTCTCTGCCTTTTAGATGTGTATAGAGGGGGCTTTGAGGTTGAGTAATGCAGGTGCACTCTTCTGGTAAAATCAGTGGGATGCTGGCCAGAGGGTTAGTAGCTAGGGCTCCTTGTATCATATTGTCCAAAATAGGCCAGTGGGATAGACTGAGAGAATCTCATACCAGGGCAAAGAAATCTGACTTGTAATAAATGATCTAAGTCACAGGCAAATCCAAGTAAGAAATTGAATCAACTATGGTAAAGAAAATCTCTGTGAATCTGAACGTTGAAATAATTGAAATGGTGGTTCCAATGAGTGAGGAATACTAGTCTGAATAGTTATAGCAGACACTTTGATACACTCAACTCTTGACTCTAGAAGCTTCACTTAAGATTTTCATATGGCTATGAGCCAGAAAGCACAAACCCAGCCTTGTGCTCTGTACCTTTCCACCTTTATGCCTAAGCTAAAAACTCCAGACTTGTGTCCTTTTACTAAGCTGATGTGTTTTCCGCATTCCTACACCAGCTGGGGAATGTCCTTGAGCCCCATGTGCTTCTGTTGCTTCCACCCAGCTCTCCCAACCTATTTCCTCCTTTTCCTCAATTTCAGCAGAGACACAGGGATCTTCCTTCTTGCACACAGTACTGTAAGGTGTGCAGCAGAGTGCTAACCTGTGGGAACAGCATACAGTACAGCATCTGCAGTAACTTTCCCTGTATAGAAACATAAAGGATCTGTATTTGAACTATTTGCTCTGCATAATTCACGGAGTCACATTCTGGTCTTGTGTGCAAATTCTTGTCTAGGGTGCAAATTCTTTTTTAGGGTGAATCCCCCTAAAAATGTGCAATATGGGGTAGTCCTGCATCAATGCTGCAAACTAGGGGCCATATTTTGACTTGGAGAGCAGGAGTCTAATTTCTTGTTCCTCTTCTCTCACAGCAATGAAGCTTTTTCTAGCTCTCTGTCTTGGAAAATTGCTTGCCATTGTGTTCTGGAGAGACCATTCCCATATGTATTTCCCTAATCCTTTACAGTGCTCCCAAGGGAAATTTTTCTCCTCTGGACATTCCTAGTCACAGGATGAAAAGTTAGTACCAAAGCTATCAGTAAATTGAGTCCTTGAGACTTAGTTTTAACAAAAAATCATGGAGCTTTCTATATTCTGTGTTTGTGAAATGTCAGCCAGACCGTTCACACAGCATGTGAACCAAAGTGTCAGCTTTGCAGCATAGAAATGAAAGTATCATTGATTCCTGTCTCAGGAAACTGACAAAACATTCCATTCCTGTAGGAAACTTTTCATAGGAACTGGAACTGTGCTCTTCCATATCCCCTCTTCTCCATGCACAAGAAGAGAAACTGCGATGTACCGTTAGCACAGTTCCATAATGGACAACCAAGATTTTTCATTATTCACTTGCTTAGTAAGGGGGATGCTGTCTGTTGTGTTGCAGCAGGTATCCAAATCTGGCAGAAGAGGTGACAGAGTATCTGGGGCTGTTTTGTTTTGAGAAATGGAACACTGAACAGCACAGGGCAAATGTCGAGCAACTGGATAGACCTCCCCTGGGGCACATGTATGATTCCTTTTGGAGGCAACTGTAAAAATTTGCTACAATAAATTCCTCTGTGCTCAGCTTTCATTCTTTTCAGCTAGTGGAGCAGTCTGGTTCAATCAATTGGAGCAAACCAGGTCTTCCTACATCCAAAATAGCACAGCAAAGAAATACATTGACCTGCCCTTTAGCACCTGTCTCACTAGCATTTTATTTAACTAATCAAGGAAAGAGGTTAGGCAGCCAGTAATTGGATCTTGCCTAGAGAGGAAATTCAGTTGGACAGTGAAGTCAGCTGTGCTCCTCCATCAAAGTTTGTGTTGATTATACCTGTACTGATGAAATTTGGTCAGCTGAAGGTCATCAGCATTCAGTTTTTCAAATAAGTTCCATAGCAATTTTGGTGAAAACATTTGTATTAATAACTTGTGTGTAGCAAAACCTGTTTGACTGTGGTGAAACTTATGCAAAGGAGCAGTACAAAAGACAAAGATCTGTGTTTTTTCTCAGTCTCTTGTAGAAAAATAAGATAGTTGTAGAGAGTAATCATTCTTGCATTTTATTCTAAAACTGTTACAGGTACATGATTTCTTATGTTAACTTTTGGCAATTCCAGCTTAAGCGTATTCACAGTGGGAATGTTTCATTTTCCTCCAGGTAAGACAGCACTCAATTTTAGAGTGACTGCTTTCTGGTCATCTGCTATTTCCTGCTCTCTTTTGCCCTTCCACTGATAGCTACTTTGCACTTGTACAGACAGCTGTGGTTAAGCTTATGGCTATTAGCAGTTCCCCATTTCCAGCTTCATAGAAACACTTAAAAATGTGAAATAAATATCCAAAGTGTGATCAGGAAAGTAGCTGTGATTGATTGTAGTTCTTCCTTTTTGTTATGTAGCTTGAAGCTATTTTTTCACAGTTCCAGCAAAACCTTTCCTACTGAGCCCAGCATGGAAGATAAGATCTTGACTTAGCATCTTGACTACAAGGTAGATTTAGACATTATTCTGTTCTTTGCTATTTATGAGATCATGATTTAATCTTCTACAGGTCTTCTGGTGTACTTGAAGTTTTCATCTGAAGTCACTCTCCCACTAAATTCATCTGTGCACTATGGGAAAGAGAGCCGGTCCACAGTAGAGCACAAGCAGGGATCTGTAGCACAATAGCAGTGTACACTGTGTAACTATTTAGCATGAGTGCTAACACAGTCATTGTTAATTAGGGCAGCTCTGTTTCACAATACCTGTCCCCTGTGGTTCCTTTCTTTTGTATATAGCACTGAGGGCATTGCTAAGTTTGCTTTTGTTTTTAGATTTGCTTGCTTGATTAGGTTTAGGCTAACGACCTCATTCCCTGCCTCCTTCCTCCAGCCCCCAGCTGGAAGAGACGATCCTTCAGCAGCAGCTTTGGTGGTCTAAATTTTTTCTTGAGCTTTGATATCTCCTGTTCATCAGCCAGTCATGCAAAGTTTTAGCTATGGCAGGAAAAGTTTTGCAATTTAAGGATGCTCAACACTGTCCTATTTATTATGGCTGCTTGGATTTTGAACAGTTTGCTTTTATTTGTGTGGCTTAAAACACAGCTGGAAAACTCAGTATGAACTTGGTTTCTGATTATTGCATGTGAATGCAAAAGTCTTCTTCCTGGCATCCGCGGAAAATGACTCAGTAGGATACCAGGCAGCTTCACA